TATGTGGGCATGAGTGTAGCACATGACATCTATGAGGAAGGCAGGGACCAGCTCATGGGAAGCCTGGCAGGCCACAATGAGCTTAAATTTTAATCTAAGGGCATTGGGAAGACACCTGAAGAACAGAGAGCAACAGAGAGTGGAGGAGTCCATAGAGCAGCGGTTCTCAACCTGTGGGTCGCGACCCCTTTGGGGGTCGAACGACCCTTTCACAGGGGTCGCCTAAGACCATCGGAAAACACATATATAATTACATATTGTTTTTGTGATTAATCACTATGCTTTAATTATGTTCAACTTGTAATAATGAAATTGGGGGGTCACCACAACATGAGGAACTGCATTAGGAAGGTTGAGAACCACTGCCATAGAGGAAGTGCTGACGGATGAGAGGGTGGCTTCCACTGGCACGGGTGTGTGCAAAGGGGACGGACCCAGCAGTGTTGCGACAGGACTGACATGGGTTAGGTGTTGGGGGAGTAAAGGAAACATGAAGGAGTGGAACTAGCCAACTGCTATGATTCATAACGCTCATAGTCCATGACTTTTTTTAAAAAGCAATCAAGCTGAAACCGGTTTGGCTCAGTGGATAGAGCGTCGGCCTGCAGACTGAAAGGTCCCAGGTTCGATTCCGGTCAAGGGCATGTACCTGGGTTTCGGGCACATCCCCAGTAGGAGATGTGCAGGAGGCAGCTGATCGATGTTTCTCTCTCATCGATGTTTCTAACTCTCTATCTCTCTCCCTTCCTCTCTGTAAAATATCAATAAAATATATAAAGAAAAAAAAAGCAATCAAAACTATCTCTTTTTAAAAGTTCCAGTTCTTTTTAGTAATGCCATCAATGCATGTGAACCATCACTCAAAACAAAAGCTAGCACCTGGACAATCACCTACTTCTAACCTATTTTCCCTCTACACCATTCTCCCCGACTCCTCCAACCCAACGTAGCCAACACCCTGAATTCATGTATTACTAAAATGTATATCTTTTTACTTTATTAAAAGGGCATCATACTATTTATAACTGTAGGGACTTCCTGTTTTGCCCAATAAGTATTTTGTTAACGTACATCCATATGACTGAGCGTCACTGCAATTCATTGTTTTAACGGCTGTGTGATATTCCATCGGGTAAGTATATTACCAATTTATTCATCCACTCCCTCTTGGTGGGCATTTGAGTTTTTCTCCAGATTTCTGTCATCGTAAACAGTGCAGCTATGACCATTTTTGTATAAGCAAGACTTCTATTAGGTATATATAAATCTGTGAAATTGCTGGTTTGAGATATTCACTGTTACAAGATAGTTCCATTCATTTTCCAAAGTAGCTACATAAAAATACCAGCAACGCTACAAGGCCCTGTCAATCCACAGTCCCTCCAACACTTGGTATTGTCCAAGTGTCCTTTTTTTTTTTCTAACCAAATTATTTTGAATTAAGATATCTTCCTCGTCTGGATTTGGGTTTCCCTGACCTAAACATTTCTTCACTGGTCTACCAGCCATAAGGGCTTCCTCTTCTCTGAATTATCTGTTCCTGTTTTTTGCCATTTTTCTTCCGTGTATTTTTGTTTTTCTTATCGACATCATCAGCCTGCTGGGGCTCAAGATCATTTTATGTTCTGAAAAGTCAGCCTTATTTAATTTAGACTTTGGACAATTAGAAGTGTCAGTAGCTAGACTCACATTTCGCCTTGAGACGTGGCCCCTGCCCTCCCTCTCTCTCCATATAATTTCAAGTACTTTGGCACTGCTAGGCTTTATGACATCCAGTTGCCTTTCTATGAGTCATTTTGTCCAACGAACAGGATTCCCTGGGACTGTCTTAATCTCCTCAGAGATCTTAACAAGGGGAGTAATGGTCATGCCCTTGATTTGGTCTTGACCTTAAGGCTGAGTGTTCATAGCCATGCCTTTAGTTTTGAGCTTTGCCCCTAAAGCTATGCCCTATTTTGAGAATATTTTACAGCCCATAGAGGTTGAAAATGAGAGATGATTGTTCCTTTCAACACAGTAAACCCCAGGATTTCTAGACTTTCTATGTTCCCTTCCAGTTTCTAGGCTTGCAAAGGAGCCGGTTTTTATCTGTCATCACTTTTTTTGTTTCTAATGAAATATAGTTAGTTGGGCCGAGCCGGCACGGCCATGGGTGAACCTGAGAGGGGGCGGTGAAGGATTTAGAAAAGACAGACAAGAGAAGAAAGCTGGGCGCTAGGTGGGACGCTGCCCTCTCTGATGGCGAGACAGCGCCCAGGCCTGCAAGCCGAGTCTTTATTTCATAGCCAGATTCCACCAGGCAAAGTAAGGGCGTGGTCAAGATGTTTACAACGTTCTCGTGGGTTGCCAATCTACTCAATTACATGCCCCTGATCAAGCTTTGTTTACTTGCTGCCCCTCCCGCAGCCTGTATCACTCAGCCACATGGGAACACAGGTTCGGACCATAAGGTCGAGCTTACAACTGTGGCCTTTGGCTATAACTGTGCTGGGACTTGCACGTGGCTTTGCCACGAGAGGATCGTGCCCTCTCACTAGTCCCAGCCTTGAACCTGTCCAAACAATATAGCCGCTCTCCACAGTTAGCAACAACTAACTCGCACTAACAATATTCTGTTTCAAAACTACTTCTCCCAAAGCCATAAATTCAGTAGGTATATTTTCTGCCTTCTAAAGCAAGCAGGTCAAACTCAAAGGCTAACACAGGCCAAATAAACAAGGTTTAAGTTTATGTGGGCCGCAAAAAAACAAAAGCTTCTATTTTCATAGCAACGTAGGATTATTTCAATAGTGACATGCTGAATACAAAGGGCTAAAATAAATGAGTAATCAACATAAAATAGAACATTTTAATAAAAATTAATATTTTTTCTTGAACATTAACTTACCAGACACTGGATAACTGCACAAATTAATAAGCGTAACGCAAATAAACCTATTTTTCTTGTTCTCCGAAAGCGAAATATTTCCTGCTTCGCACACCAACCAAGTCAGTCCAAGACTAATGACGTGGCAATCGGCTGCTAAAATATTCGCTGCTAGTATTAGTAGAGAGAAATGGTGCGCCTGCGCGTAAGGCGCGTAGGGAAATGAATGCAACATGATTATGCTGTAGTAATCAGTCACTAGCGAACATTGTAGTTCGTTATTAATAATTATGTATAACAGGATATTGTCAAAATTAAGTAACGAAATTTTTATTAAAACGTTTCTTACATACCATTATATTGGCTGGGCCGCAAAAATATTCGTTGTGGGCCGCATGTGGCCCACAGGCCGCGAGTAGTCTGACATGCTTGCATTAAAGGCTCCCATGGTTTCCACCGTATCATTGTTCTCACCAGACTTAGTGCATTTTCAGCCTTAAGAATCGCCTCTTCTATTTGGCCACCTTGAAGTCGGTCTTCTAATTTTCTAACATCTGGCTTTGCTTTAACCATATCCAGCTTCTCATTTGGAATCTCTTCTGTTTACTTCCTATATGCGGCACTTTTATTTTATTTTTTTAATTATTGATTTTTTACAGAGAGGAAGGGAGAGGAATAGAGAGTTAGAAACATCGATGAGAGAGAAACATCGATCAGCTGCCTCCCGCACACCTCCCACTGGGAATGTGCCCGCAACCCAGGTACATGCCCTTGACCGGAATCGAACCTGGGACCCTTGAGTCCGCAGGCCGACGCTCTATCCGCTGAGCCAAACCAGTTAGGGCTATATGCGGCACTTTTAGATTTGCTCAAGAACATCAAGAATCTTTGTGTACAATATGCTTAGCCTCTCCTGTGGACTCTCACATGCAGCCCGTCCTGGAAGGCCGGTGGTCTTCTTCAGCAAGCCCGCCATGACAGCGCCGATGAGCCGAGTACCAGTATTTTTAGTCTAAGTGCGTCCTCTTGCCATAGTTGCTTCTCCCCTTGTTATCAGTGAGCCCCCGGGGGGCCCCTTAGCAGCTGAGGTACTGAGTGCTTATCAACAACAGATGAGTTAACAACATCCTGACACAACTTACGTCATTCTTCTATATCAAAACAACTTCCTGTCTTTTTTAAAAATTTTTTTAAAATATTTTTATTGATTTCAGAGAGGAAGGGAGAAGGAGAGGGAGATAGAAACATCAATGATGAGAGAGAATCATTGATTAGTTGCTTCCTGCACCCCCCCCACCCCCTACTGGGGATGGAGCCCACAACCCAGGTATGTGCCCTGACCAAGAAATGAACCTTGATCTCCTGGATCATAGGTCAACCCCCAACCACTGACCACACCTGTTGGGCAAAATAACTTCCCTTCTAAAACATTTTCTTGTCTTTGCATAAACAGGATTAAAACAGCTTCACTTAAGTCATAAACAAATGGATTTAAAATCCTATCAAACCAATACTCAGCAGAAACCGAAGCCCTCAGCCTGACAACCCAGGAGAATCTGAAATGTGGCCAACAACCCTGTGAGCTCGGAAGCAGGTCCTTCCCCAGTCGAGCCTCAGATGACACCAAGGCCCCAGCTGACACCCTGACTGCAGCTTGTGAGACGCTGAAGCGGAGGCCTCAGCTTGTTGTGCCCTGACTCCTCACTCACAGAGACTGAGACAACAAACGTGTGTTGTTTGAAACCACTCCATTTGTGGTAATATTTCACAGGGATTCATAACATGCCCCTTGTGTTTGGGGGGACGGGGTTCCCTTAAAACCACTCTCAGGGGAGTCCTCCAGCTCTGCAGTCAATGCCGTGGTTCTCCACCAGGTCTCAGATCTGAGCCCCATCAAACCAGGTCACAACAGAAAAGCAATAATCCCTTTCGAATAAAGGGATAGAGACTGACGGTTCTGATTGGATGTTAGCACTTGAGAAGATGTATAAAAACGTCAGGCACCAGAGGAGAGATTCAGAGTCCTCCAGCTCTGCAGTCAGTGCAGTGGTTCTCCAGCAGGTCTGAGATCCAAGCCCCAGCCTACCGGTCACAGCAGACGTTTCTGCAGGATTCCTTTCTGAGCACCTTGAAGATGAGCAGGCAGACCCCACCCACACTCCTGCAGCTGGCAGGGGAGAGCCTGCTGAGGGACCAGGCCTCAGCCATCACAGCTCCGGACTACCTGCCGGCTGAGCTCCTCCCCCCGCTGTTCATTCAGGCTTACCGTAGGAGAATCCGGGAGCCCCTGAAGGCGATGGTGCACGCCTGGCCCTTCACTATGCTCCCTCTGGGGAACCTGATGAAGCTGCCTGAGGTCATAGTCTTAAAAGCCGTGTTGGATGGGCTTGACGTTCTGCTTGCCCAGGAGGTTAGGCCCAGGAGGTGGAAACTGCGGGTGCTGGATTTCAGGGACACGGGTGCCAACTTCTGGAGAATGTGGAGTGGAGACAGCACCCCGAAGTGCTCACCTAGGGGACCAATGACTGTGCACAGCTCCAGCCCCAACATGGAGCATCCCTTGGCTCCCTTGGAGGTGTTCCTAGACCTTAACTTCAATGCAAGGGATGCGGATGAGTTTCTCATGCACATCATCCAATGGGCCAAGGAGAGGGAAGGGTTGCTACACCTGTGCTGCAAGGCGGTGAGGATTTCTGAGACGCCCCTCCAGAGGGTCAGGAGGGTCCTGGATAGGGTGCAGCTGGACTGCATCCAGGAAGTGGAAGTGAACTGCACCTGGGACCTGCCCACCCTGGGGACGTTTGCTCTCCACCTGGGTCAGATGAGTAACCTGCAGAGACTCTCTCTCCCCCACATCGATGTGTTGGCTGAGGAGGAGGACTGGGAGGAGGAAGAGGATTGGGACAGGAAACAGCAGGAGGAGCAGCGATCCTTTTCCCAATTCCTCTCTCAGATGCTCAGGCTGCGGCACCTCCGGGACCTCAACATGGATTTTCCCTCCTTCCTCCAAGGCCGTCTGGACCAGATGCTCAGGTGCCTGCAGGCCCCCTTGAACAAACTCTCCATGGAAAATTGCCAGAGGCTGACGCATTCAGACCTAACACACCTGTTCCAGTGCCCGAACCTCAGGCAGCTGAAGTCCCTGCATCTGTTTCGCCTCAGCCTCGTGGATTTTAGTCTTGAGCCCCTCCAAGCTCTGCTGGAGGCAGTGGCACCCACCCTCCAGGACCTGTGCCTGGATCACTGTGGGATGGTGGACTCCCAAGTCGAGGCCATCCTGCCTGTCCTGAGCCGCTGTCACCAGCTCAGGGAGTTCACCATCTCGAAGAACAACTTTTCCGTGGCCACCGTGGAGAAGCTGCTGCGCCACACAGCCGGGCTGCGCAGTTTAGAGTTCGAGCTGTACCCTGTCCCTCTGGAGTGTTACAGGAGCCAGGGAACCGTCAACCAGGAGAGACTTGCCAGGATCCGGGCTGAGCTCATGGGGATACTGAGGGAGTTAGGACAGCCCAGGACCATCTGTCTTGCCACCAAGCACTTTGGCGATAGTGAGTTTTATGTTGTGGCATTTTCATGACATGGAGCCCGTGATGTGACCCTGTAGTGACCCTGCTCACTGGGTGCACCCGGCAAAGGCTTCTTTCTGGGCTTTTGGAAGCTGAAACCTCAGACCGGGGTGCATTATGCAGGGGGCACCCACGTTTCAGGTTCATGCTCAGTGTGCATGGGGAAAGGGAGGGACCCAGCCCGGGTACAGGATGGCAGGGGCAAACGTTGGGGAGTTCATGAGACCTCAAAGGCAAAGTGTCCTACAATCAGAAACATGAATCTGATTTGCCTGGGGAGGGGGCAAGATTTGGGTGCATGTGTGGGAGTTAATTCTGGGGTGGTTGGTTGTAAAGGGATGATCAGAAATAAAGACAATTTCAAAGGCAAAAAACAAAAAAACAAACCACCACTCAGGTTCAGTGATTCACTAGGATTGTCAGAACTCAGCAGAACTGTTATACAGTTTATACAGTGAAAAGATACAGATTAAAATCAGCCGTAAAAAGAAGGCACATAGGGCAGCAGCCAGGAGACACCAATTATCCTCTCCCAGTGGAGTCATATGGACAATTCTTAATTCTCTCAGCAACGATGTGTGACAATGTGCAAGGAGTATTGTCAAACCAGGGAAAGTCACGCAGGCCTTGGCATCCAGGTCTTTCAGTGGAGGTCAGTCAGGTAGACAGGCCTCACCAACCAGGTGGCTGACCTTCGTCTCCAGCCTCTCCCAAGGTCAAGTTGATGACACCTCCCGGCCGAAGGCCCCCAGGTGAACGAAGACACTCTTATCAGGCAGGATATTCCAAAGGATTAGAGATTACGTTCCAGGGCCTTTCTTTGGACAGTGCAGAGTTAACCCTTCACTACACAACCCTTAACTTCAGGAGTGGGATTCTTGAAGGCAGAGAGAGAGGACAGGAAACCAAGGTGTTTTAACCTTTATACCTTTACCGGCCTTATAGTCAGAGAGTTTCCGGGAAGTACACCATAGAGCCAGAAGGCAGGGTGCAGGGGCGAGGAGGCGGAGACTGGGCACTCGCCCAGAAGTTTCTCCTGATTAGCCACTGAATAGAAGGCAAGCTTCCCCCGCTCGAGGTCCAGCCAGGTGCCCACCACCCTAGGTTTTTCTGAGCCGAGGACAGTTTCCTTGGCCATGTGCCATATCGAGAGCTGGCTGGTTCCCTTCCACTCCACGCACCAGGAGTCCCTGGTCCTTCCCAGCATCTGGTCGCGGCTCATCCCCCAGGAAGCCACGCCAATCGCCCAGTGACTGCACTGCTGAGTGTCCACTTCCCAGTACTGCTGCCCAGAAGAGAAGGCTTGGGAGCATAAGACCTGGCAGATTGTAAACCTGGTGTGACTCCCGTCATAAACCTGTGGGATGGGAGTTACAGTCACCTTCCTGCGGTCCTCCGACAACTCCAGGCTAACGGGCAGGCTCCTCGGGTCAAAGGTTGGACTGACAGCCCCTGAAGAAAAGAAAAAAAACAAGAACATAACCAGCCAGCTCTGACTGTCCCTGCTCAGAGGTCCTCAAAGAGCAAAAGCAGCTTTGTGTCTTTGGGTGTGATAAAGTTGTACTCAGACTGGCATTAATACAGGTATGTCAAACACTTGCTGCTCTCTATACTAGTACATACCCCTGATGTTTGCTAACAATACCCCTTTCCCTCCTTAGCCTCTACTTACCATCAACCTTCTTTCAGGGAGCCCTCCCTGCGTCCCACCCAGCAAAAAGGCACCTCTTGCTTTGCTCGATACCCCCCGTGTCTTAGCTGCTCCCTAATGTACCATCTTCTACCTGGAGCACAGTGACATGACCACGGCTGTCCATCTCTCTCTAGTCATAATACATAAGCTTCCTGATTAAGGATCATGTCTTATTCATTTTGTATATTTTATACTGTTTCCTGCTGAGTAAATAGATGTGAATGCCGGAAGCCGGTCCATCCTTGCTGCTTGACACAGTCGCTGCAGGGAAGAAACATCTGCACAGCATATGTTTCAAGGGACCTGGCGTACATGGCATACTGTTCTTAATATGTTTGCTCACCTTCTTGGCACTATGTGTTTTAACCAAGGTCACCTCTCTGAGAAGGTTGTTTCCCCAGGTAGGGATTTTTTTTTTTAATATATTTTATTGATTTTTTACAGAGAGGAAGGGAGAGAGAGATAGTTAGAAACATCGATGAGAGAGAAACATCGACCAGCTGCCTCCTGCACATCTCCCACTGGAGATGTGCCCGCAACCCAGGTACATGCCCTTGACCAGAATCGAACCTGGGACCTCTCAGTCCGCAGGCTGACACTCTATCCACTGAGCCAAACCGGTTTCGGCTCCAGGTAGGGATTTTTCCCTGAAGTTAGGGAGGGAATAAAACCCCTTAACTAAATGCCCGGCGGGTAGTTAATCACTTTAACTACGAACAATCACCCTTAAGCTACATAATCTTTACTCCCTGGAATGAAGATAAGAAATGCCCTAACCTTTGGAATAGAAATTGACAGGATTAAAATCAACTGGTATAGCCGAAACCTGTTTGGCTCAGTGGATAGAGCGTCGGCCTGCAGACTGAAAGGTCCCAGGTTCGATTCCGGTCAAGGGCATATACCTGGGTTGCCGGCACATCCCTAGTAGGAGATGTGCAGGAGGCGGCTGATCGATGTTTCTAACTCTCTATCTCTCTCCCTTCCTCTCTGTAAAAAATCAATAAAATATATTTTTTTAAAAATCAACTGGTATAAATACAGATGTAACAAGACAATAAGACACAGAACTTGGCTGGAGATCCTGGCCAGGCTGCTGATCAACTGAACGCTGTCTCTGTGTCATTCCTTCTTCACCGACTCTGTCCACACCTTTAGGGACCCCTGGACCTGCTGGGGTTGGACCCCAACATGTGAACACATACATAGCATTTCTACTCTAGGCACACATTTAAACACATTCACTCATCTAACCCTTATGACAATCCCTGGAAGTAGGACTATTATGTTCTCCATCTTACAGATGAGGGGCCTGGGACGCTGGGAGGTTACCTAACTTGTCCAATATCACAGAGCTAGTGAGCAGGAGCTGGGAGTCAAACCCACACTGTGTGGGTCCAGGATCCCTGCTCTCAGTGACCACTCCAGACTGGGACAGCGGATGGGGGAATGGGCAGTTGGCTGCCTATGGTGGTCCCAGCATGGATGCCCACAGGTGGCCTGAGCTCCCAGTGATCATGGGTCTGGGTTAGCCTGGAATTTGGGAGCTTTTCATTCCCTTTGTCTTTGTAATCAGCTCCCCATGGGAAGGGCTCGTGTGAGGTGGTGGGCCTAGCGGCAGGGAGATGGACACAGCACACTCTCCCAGCTCCCCTCTGCAGCCAGCCGAACACAAGTTTTAAGCAGACCACATACTTACATTGAACAAACCTGGATGCAAGAAGGCTCTGGTCAGTCTGTGGGCATGAGGAAGAAGACAGACCTTCTGGGAGTTTAACTAAGAAATAAAAAAAATGGGAGGGGGGAAAAGTTTCATTTTATAAAAGCAAGTAGACGGTATCTAAGCATCATGATCAGAGCAATGGCTTGTCTTCCGCAGCAGCAGCAGCAGCAGCAGCAGCACCTTTAGCATCAGGGCGAGACCAGGCAGTGCAGCCAGCTCAGGGTCATTCAGCCCCATGTTCTCACTGGGCCTTTTCCCACCATTTCCTCCCTGAACTCTAAACTCGTTGCTGGCTCCTTGTTCGTCTCTATGTTCTAAGAACCAAGCCTAGTGTCAGGTATCTAGGAAATGTATTTAGCAAATAAATTAACTAAGACAGTTCCAGGAGACAACAGTGCCCTGACATCCAGAATATTCACGAACCCCGTATCAATGCTTTGTTTTTATTTTATTTTTTAATATTTTTATTGATTTCAGAGAGGAACAGAGAGGGAGAGGGAGAGAGAAATATCAATGATGAGAGAGTATCATTGATCGGCTGCCGCCTGCATGCCCCACACTGGGGATCAAGCTTGCAACCTGGACATGTGCCCTGACCGGGAATCAAACCATGACCTCCTGGTTCATAGGAATGCTCAACCACTGAGCCACACTGGCTGAGCTCAATGCTTTAAACTGTTATAAAAACTGGGAAACATGAGTTGGTGTGAGATTCATCTCAACTCATTGACACCTCCTACTTCCTTCTCAATGTACTAAAGTTCGACTGTTAACTTAAAGCTACTGTGTGCTTCCAATGCCCACATAGTAGGTAGAAGAAGAGAAAGTAAAGGAGATGTCACAGTGCGGACTATGAAGGTAAAATCTTCCCCCATTTGTATCTTCTTGTTGCTGTTAATCCCACAGAGGATATTTTTCCATTGATATTTAGAGAGAGTGGAAGGGAGGGGGAGAGACACAGAGAGAGAAACGTTGATTGGTTGTCTCCAGCACACACCCTTACCAGGGCCGGGGATCAAGCCTGCCACCAAGATATGGGCCCTTGATCAAAATCGAACCTGGGACCCGTCAGTCTGCAGGCTGACGCTCTATCCACTGAGCCAAGCTGGCTAAGGCCAGGCTTTTTCTTTTTTTTTTTTTTAAAGTAACCAGGATCCCTGGGGAATATAAAATAATAATATAGCACTATTCTGTTTAAGTAAAATTGTTCTGCATAAAATGTGATTTCCATGGCAGCACGTGGAGTGCTTACATAGGGGCAAAGGAAAGCACTGTGACGAGCCAAATTGCATGGCAACTGTTAAAGTACTGACTTGAAGAACACTATCTATTGTCTTTAAAACAATCCTGTGAGCCCGGCTGGCGTGGCTCAGTGGTTGAGCATCGACCTATGAACCAGGAGGTCACGGTTCGATTCCCGGGTCAGGGCACATGCCTGGGTTGCAGGCTTGATCCCCAGTGCGGGGCGTGCAGGAGGCAGCCGATCCATGATTCTCTCTCATCATTGATGTTTCTGTCTCTCTCTCCCTCTCCCTTCCTCTCTGACATCAATAAAAATATTTAAAAATAAATAAATTAAATAAATAAAACAATCCTGTGACATCCCAGGTGGTTTGGCTCAATGGCTAGAGCATCAGCTTGCAGACTGAAGGATCCCAGGTTCAATTCCTGATCATGCCTGGGTTGTAAGCTCAGTCCCCAGTAAGGGGCATGCAGGAGGCAGCCGATCCGATTCTCTCTCATCATTGATGTTTCTCTCTCTCTCTCTCTCTCTCTCTCTCTCTCTCTCCCCCTCCCTCCCTCCCTGTGTCCTTCTCTCCCTTTCCCTTCCTTCCTCTCTTTGAAATAAATTTTTTAAAAAATATTTTTTTAAAAATCCTGTGACAACTTCAGGGAATGATGTTTCAGGATATGGGTGTATATCAGATCCTTTGCTTTAAAAATGTTCTGGACTGGTCCAAATAGCCAAAAACAACATAATCACTAAGAAATAACTATATTGTACTTGCTAAGGCATACTTAAATGTTATAAATTGAATTTTTAAAGAATACTATAAGATGTATGCTTCATTCCTCAAAAAATTAAGAGAGAAATTACCATATGATCCAGCCATTCCACTTCTGGGGATATAGTCAAAAGAACTGAAAGCAGGAACTTGAAGCGATATTTGCACACCCATGTTCACAGCTGTGTTATTCACAATAGCCAAGAGGTGGAAGCAACCCAGTGTCCATTGTTGGTTAAATGGATAAACAAAATGCACTATATGCATACAATGGAATATTGCTCAGCCTTGAAAAGGAAGAAAATTCTGACACATGCCACAACAGCGATGACCCTTGAAAACATTATACTGAGTGAAACAAGCCAGTCATAAAAAGGCAATAGTTGTGTGATTCCACTTACATCTGGTACCTAGAGCAATCACACTCATAGAAACTGGAAGTGAATGTGGAGTGGGGAGTTCCTGTTTAAACAATAGTATAGAGTTTCAGTTTTACCTAATCAAAAAGATCTGGAGCTTGGTTGTACAACAAAGTCAATGTACTTAACACTACTAGACTGTATGCTTAAAAATGGTTAAGATGGTGGGTTTATGGAAATGAACCTGCCACCTCAGCATGTGCCCTGATCGGGAATCGAACCTGCAACCTTTCGGTGCACGGGATGATGCTCAACCAACAGAGCCACACTGGCCAGGACATAAAGTTGCATGTTTTATTAAGTAAAGGCATTTACTAGTTTAAAAAAAAAAAAAAGCGGCCTATTTCTGAATCACCTCTGATAGATAACACAGATGAATGGTAAGCCAGCAAAGTCTGGTCCGGACTGATGTACAGGTCTTAGAAAATGAGTTTCTATCTCATCAAGGGCCTGTGTTCCGTTACAACTCCAGTCACTTCCAAAAACATAGCCAGCCACAAAATACCTCAACCCCTTCTCTCCTCACATACACCACAGTGACATGCAGTGGGGCCCTGGGTCACATCCCCAGACAACAAAGCCATGGAACACTCTGCCTTCCCCCCAACTTCCCTACTTAACCCTCCTCTCCAAATAAACTCAACTCACCCTGCCTTTGTTCTTTAGGCGGCTCTTTCCCCGTGAAGTTTTCTTGCAATTTCCTCCGGATGTCTTCTAGGTCATGTAGAATGTCTCTCATTTTGTCCTCAGCTATGTTGGAAGTCGCTAGCTTTGGAGAAATCAAGGAATGGTCCACCCCACCAGAAAAAGCCTATTGATGAAGCATTAAAACAAGAAAAGAGAAGAAGCAGCCAGGTAGGTAGCTTGGTGTAAAAAAAAAAAAAAAAAGAAAAAGATTTAAAAAAAGAAAAGAAAGTCTCCCAGGAATGCATCAAATAGTATACTCCAGTGTTGCAACCCATCTATAATTTTCCACTTACCCCCTAACGAGTTTTTAAAACATAATGAGGCCCTCAAAATACACACTTTGAAAATAACCTGGAGTAATACATAGTACAGCAGAAATATTAAAGGGTGGGGGGGGGGTGATGGATGATTTTCACTTACTTTCTTTAAACGGCTATGTATTTTCTCATCCTTTTGTACAATAAATATCAATTTCTTAAGTAATACTAAAACAAGTCAAAAGTTCTTAGGCCCATATAATTTACAAAGTAAATAATACAGATAGCCACTGAGCTAAGCCACAAAGGCTAGACTCATCTTCCCCAGACTGCTATCATGATCGCATATACCTTCTCACCCAGGCCCCGCTCTCTGGGGCCTCCAACACGTGCTCACGGATTTTCTTGCACTTCAGGTCCTATGAGTCCCCAACACAGCCTCCCATCCGCTACTTCCCACCTCCAGCACCAGCACCGGACTTTCCTTCCCAACTTTGCATAAGCCACCGCCCACTTTTTTCACCAATCATAACAGTAGCAGGCACCACTTACTGAGTTCCTTCCACTGCTCACCTCGAATTTGCATAACAACCTTCCAAGGTGGGTTTATTATCCCCATTTTGCCAAAGAAGAAGCTAACGTTCATGAAGTTAAGCTAAAACTTGCCATAGTTCATTGTTATTGCCCTACATTTTCTCATTGCTAAGCTCTTTTTTTATACACCATCCCTTTCAATCCCATCAAAATAATGAGGCTGCAGGCCTCATTATTCCTACTTTACAGGTAGAAACCTGAGATTCAGAGAGATGAAATGACTTGCCCAAGCTCATAATACTAATGTTACATCCCTAAAGTCCCACATATTCACCCATTCAGTGGGATACAAGGGTGAACAAAAGAACAAAAGCCCTCAAGGTCTCCACCCTCATGACGCTTAGAGTCCAGGGCCAGAGAAGAGGGAGGGCAGACATGAGTAAATTGTGGCTGTGCTAACGGCTGCCCATGGAAGTTACATGGAGTCATGAGAGCGAGCGCCTCTAATAGGGGGATGTGACCTGTTCAAGGACCAGTGAAGGATTTTCCAGGACAGTGATGAACTCCTTGGGGTCTGAAGGATGAGCAGGCATTCCCTAGGTGAAGGGCGAAAGAACATTCCATGGAGTGCGCCCTGTGGTGGGGAAAGTGTGACAACACCCTGGAGGGACAGACGTGGGCCAGCACGGCCAGGACCTGACGAGCCAGGAAGAGCTGGGTGAAATGAGATGGGAGAGGAGGCAGGGACAGAATCCTGCGGACTCTTGTTGGTTCTGTGAGGATGAATCCTGCACAACAGATGCCATTGGAGTGTCTTAAGCGTTTGAGTTACATGATCAGATCTGCATTTGAGAGGGTCACTCTGATGACCCCGAGGACAGCAGACTAGAGGGAGTGGAATGGAGCAATTAGGAGGCTACTGGAGAAATCCAGGCAAGACGTGATCATAAGCTTGGATTAGAGAAGTCTCAAGGGAGCTCAGGAGCAGTAAATAGAGCCCAGCCAGGGTGATTCAGTAGTTGAGCGTTGACCTGTGAACCAGGAGGTCATGGTTCGATTCCCGGTCAGGGCATATGCCCAGGTTGTGGGCTCCATCCCCAGTGTAGGGTGTGCAGGAGGCAGCCAATCAATGATTTCCTCTCATCATTGATGTTTCTGTCTCTCTCTCTCCCTCTCCTTTCCTCTCTGAAATACATAAATATATTTGAAAAAATTAAAAAAGAAAAGAGTAGTAAACAGATTCGAGAGATGTTTTGGCAGGTGAGGGAGGAGGTGCATGATTCTCAGGTTTCTGGCTTGTGCCCTTAGAAGAATAACCAGCAGTCAGATGGGGAATTCCCCCTGAGGAACAGTTTGGGGCATGTTAGGTGTCATGTGCCTTTGTGACACTAAGAGGCGACTATGAGAAGGAAAACACCAGCCTAGAGCTCAGAGAAGTGGCCGGGCTGGAGCTGTTTGTGCTAATTAAAGCCATGGGTGTGGGGAAGAGAAAGGGACCCACGGATGAGCCTTGAGGAATCCCAACGTTTCACTGCTAAGCAGAGGCGAGTGAGCCTGCAAAACAGACTGGAAAGGAGCAGCCAGAGAGAAACGGGAAGGCTCGTGGGCAGAAGCTGAGGAAAAGGAAAGCTTCAAGGACGAAGGTGTGGTCGCCTGTGCCAAAGGCCATTGAAGGCGTGGCTCAGTGTTGAGCATCGACCTATGTGCCTGGAGATCACAGTTCAATTCCTGGTCAGGCACATGCCGGTGTTGCAGGCGCAATCCTCAGTGTGGGGCGTGCAGGAGGCAGCTGATCAATGTTCTTTCTCATCACTGATGTTTCTATCTCTCTCTCCTCCCTTTCCCTCTGAAATCAATAAAAATATAGTAATTAAAAAAAAAAAAGATGAGGACTAGAATGTCTGCAGGATTTACGTAGAGGCCACTGGTGATCTTAGAGCTGGTTAGGTGGAATGAACAGGATGGAACCTAGGCCTCTTGAAGCTTCCCTATCAAACCTCCAGGCCTCCCTGTTTGGTAGCCCAGCGAAGGGGAAAGGGCAGGGCCTTACTGCATCCTTCAGCTGCAAACACGTTCATGCTGCCCCAGTTGGGAGCTGTCCCCGCCCCTGTCTCCTGCCACGCCCTTTCCTCTCCCCGCTTGAGCCTACCATGCCCAGGACGTTCAGTTTGTTCTCCGGCCCAGATTCTGGGAGCTGCCTCTGCTTCTGAAGGCTCCTGGCGATGTCTACAAGCCGTTCCACCAGCTCTGCCAGCTCCCGACCAGCTTCTGGGATGCTCTTCGGTGCCGCCGCCTTTAAAAGAGCAAAGCAGAACCCAAAGCTGGACCCAGGAATCAGCTCTACATAGAGTGTGCAGCCTGGATACAGGAACAGGCAAGGACACGACGGAAACATTCAGAGGACAAGAAAGGAGGCTCCCCAGACCTTTTGCAAGCCCCTTTCCCTTACTGATCGTCCTGTGGCCATAAGAGGAAAGCGGAGTCCATCCGTGGGATGGAGAGGGAGGGGGAATGGGAGTAAAGTGTGAAGGGAAGCCTAGGGCCATTATGAACAGGGGAAGTCAGAGAAGACATGGGTGTGAACCTGGCAGGATGGTGGCAGCTGACAGAGTGAGTGGTGCAGTGGAAGGCATGTGGCTCAGGCTCAAGCTCCTGACCAGGCTTTTCAGAAATGAAAGTGACATCCCTCCTTCTCTCCCATAGGGAAAAAGATCTACCTAGCTGTTCACTGTGAAAGGATCTTGGAGACTTAAGTGATGTACAGATGAAAGCTTTTTTGTTTGTTTATTGGCATCTTTAACATTACAAAATACATTCCACCCGGCCAGCGTGGCTCAGTGGTTAAGTGTTGACCTATGAACCGGGAGGTCACGGTTTGATTCCTGGTAGGACACATCCCCGGGTTGCTGGCTCGGTCCCCAGTGTGGGGCGTGACGTAGGCAACCGATCAATGATTCTCTCTCATCACTGACATTTCTATTTCTCTCTCCCTCTCACTTCCTCTCTGAAAACAATCAAATTAAATATTTTTTAAAAACATTCAGAAGAGAGTGCTAAACAACTCCACTTAAAGGGCTTAGTCTGCTCAGCTGCCCAGCTGGGAGTGAGAGTAAGCTTTGCAGCCAACATATTTTGGCAACAACCTCACGATCTGATGACAGTCAACAGAGGCAGCCTGGACACAGACCACAATGGAGAACTCCGCCTCCCCTCCAAAAGGGGTGGTTCTACATAGAGTCACAGAAATGTAAGGCGTTCGTCACTCAAGTGTGAATCAACCAGAGTTTTTTATAACTTTGTTTTGACATTTGTCATATTTTAAATTTTGCTGGAGCCTCAAAAACTTGGATTGACCCAGGGCCTTTTTCATCTCTTAAATAGCCCTGATGTCTCTCAAAATAGCATGTGTTTTGGCAGTTGTCAGCAGGCTACTTTAGAGAGGGGGGTGACTGACCCCTGCTAACACTGTTTGCTCTTAAAGGTCCAGGCCCCACTCCTAAATATTCAAGCAGCAGGAACTCTTGTAGAGGAAATCTTATCCAGGCACCTGAGCAAATTAAAGACTTTAAAAAATACATGCATTGCTTTTTCTATCCATAAGAGAAATACACACTTATTGTGGCTAATTTAAAAAATGCAGAGAATGAAAAAGAAGAAATGTTTTAAATCATCTAATACCCTACCATCCAAAGATAATCATTTTAATTTAAAAGCCAATGGAAAGGATATTCAATCACTATAAACTATATTAACAAAGAGTTTTAAGAAGTTGTTAGATAATGCTGTATTTATAATCTAAAATAGAGAATAGTCTTTTTTCATAATTGGGGAAAAATGGAAGCAACCTATATGTCCATCAAAAGGTGAATGGATAAATTGTGGTATATCTATGCAATGAAATATTACTGAGCAATAACAAACAATGAGCTATCAAGCCACAAACCTTCATTTTGCTTTGTGAAAGAAGCCAGTCTGAAAAGGCTAGATACTGTATGATTCCAACTATATGACATTCTGGAAAAGGCAAAGAGATGGTAAAAAGATCAGTAGCTCAGGGATACACACAGGAGGAGCACAGGGGATGTTCCGGGCAGTAACGCTGCATGGTAACCAAAACTGTAGATCCATGACCTGAGACATTTATCAAAAGCCATTGAACTGCACAACACGAAGAGTGAACCCTGATGTAAACTGTGGACTTTAGTAAATAACAATGGATTAATATTGGTTCATCAATTGTGACAAATGTACCACATTAATGCAAATTGTCAATAACTGCAGAAACTGTGAGGGGTGCACAGGAACTTCCTGTACTATCTGCTCAATTTCCTGTAAACCTAGAACTGCTCGAAAAAATAATGTCTATTAATTCATTAAAAAAAAAAAAAAAAGACATACCCTGGTTATACAACAAGACCTCAGCTCTGTTTAAAAGGACTCAAGAGAACAACAAAAGGGTGGCGTGGGCAGCTCCAAGCTCTCACCCCAGCCCCCACACAGAAACATCGAAAAACAAGCAGAAACTGTCACTACTCTGGAAAACACTGTTTCTAAGAAGAGCAACCGGGCATAGCTCAGTGGTTGAGCGTTTAACCTATGAACCAGGAAGTCCTGGTTCGATTCCTGGGTTGCTGGCCCTATCCCCATTGGGGTGTATACAGGAGGCAGCCAATCAATGATTCTCTCCCATCATTGATGTTTCTATCTCTCTCTTCCTCTCTAAAATCAATTTTAAAAAATATTTTTTTAAAAAAAAGAAAAGAAAGAAAAAGAGCAACCTGGCAGTAGAAAAGCACTGTGGTGTTTTTACTTGTCCTTGCCCCACTCCCCGCTGGCTCAGTAGCATAATCAAGATTCCTCGCACGGGGCTCTGGTCCTGTTCTGGAGGAGCAGCACACACCTTATTCACAAACTGTCATGTATGTCTGTTCTAACCGGGCTGCCGGCTGCCCCAAGGAGTGGCACAGGGTACTCATCTTTGTTTCACCTGACTCGGAGCTCAGGCCGAAAAAGCAGATGCTGCAAGCTGAACTACAACATGCCAATGTCTAGGGCAAAAGATTATGGTGGAAACACCTAAGTGCCAGAGCAAAAGCTGGAGGAACCGGACCCCTCCTACTTTGAAAATAGATACTTGCACACCAACATTCGCTACAACATCACTTACAATAGCCAAACGGTGGAAACAATCCAGATGCGCATGGATGGATGAACGGATTTTTTAAAATGTGGCATATACATACAAGGGAATGATGAAAGGAATGAAGTCTGGGCACATGGCACAACATGAACGAACCCTGAAAACATTATGGTAAGGGAAGGAAGCTAGACACAAAGGGACAGATACTGTAGGGTCCCATTTATATGAAATATCTAGAGTAGGCAAAATCACGGAGACAGTAGGCAGGTTAGAGGGGACCAGAGGCTGGAGCGGGGAGCGAATGAGAAGTTAATGCTTGGTGAGCACAGAGCTTCTGTGTGTGGTGATGAAAAGGTTGTGGAAATAGCGGTGATGGTTGCACAACATTGTAAAAACAACTAACGCCCCTAAGTTATACCCTTAAAAATGGTTAACCTGGCAAATTTCGTATATACAAAAACATTATTAGAGAGACAGATGTGGAAAGACTAGAAAGTAGCGGAACTCTATGCCAAGAAGTACAGTGGGGCCTTGACTTACGTGTGTCCCGACTAATGAGTTTTTCCGAGATAGAGTCGGCCCGATTTTTTGCTTTGAGTTGACAGAGTAATTTGAGTTAACGAGCTCCTTAACGAGCTCCCGTCAGGGAACGAATTAAACTCGTAAGTCAAGGCCCCCCTGTATAGCAGCGAGGGTGAAAAGGGATTTTCAGATTTGAATTTATTTTTCTGCTGCTTTCACTTTTTTCTAAAAATTTTCAAAGAGCGGTTTCACTTTTAAAAGGGGAAAATAAACTAAAAGCGAAAAGGATGGGGGGGGAACCCCTGGGAGACGGGCCGGTGAAGCCAGGGTCCGCCACCTACCCCGGCTTCGGGCGGGGCGCGGGGGT